TTAAAGTTATCTTTAATTATTATGTTATCCTACTATTATAGCAATAATGTATTACTTGAAGTATTACAAATATACTATAATCAATAGTATTAAATAACAATTATATATCTGAAGGATTTTCTGGAGTTCTTGGCAAATTGGGTGGCTTCAGTGTAACAAGTAACAACACAGACAAACACAGTTTACAAAAATAATCACATTTATTTATACAACACTGTCAAGTTAATGACGGTGATTGAACTCATAAACAATGATCACAACAACAAAACAAGGCATAAGTGTGTGTGTAGTAGGTGTGTGTGTGTACACGAGTGGTAGTGTAAGAGAGAGAAAGAGAGAGAGAGATGTTGCCTCTTAGCTACCAAGCAAGTGACTGAGCCCTTGAGGCTTGTTCAAATACACGACTGCGCAGTGGAAGAAGAACTGCGAGGTAGAAGGAGACGGCAACAGGAATCACGTGAAGGCGTGTATGCGCTCACGGAGGTGTGAAAGGGGAAAAGGTTTCGTCCCCAGTCTAGGGGAACTGGTACGAAGCATCCGCCTTTCCACCCTCCCCTTTCTCTTCTCATCCCCAAGAAGGTGGCCAAGTCAAGATTTTATAGTTTTTACAGTAGCAATTTATTTTTGCTTGGATGTGAGAAAAATGCCCAATACAACTATCAAAACTAAATCAAAAACAGGAGAAAATGTTTGGAACAAAACAACAAGGGATTTTCACTCCTCCATTTTGCTACGTGATACATGCAGTAAAAAGTCACGCAGGGAAAAGCACAGAGCACACGGCAAGGTGTCAAAAAAAGGGAAGAGGACCGACACATGTTGGTTTAAATATCTACCATCCACCAATCCACTCACAGTTTCCCTGTCATGTGATCCTGCAAGACAAAAACCCACACACCCAGGAGAAAACACTTCAAGCACCACACATACAAAACACAATCAGTCTTTGGTCTATTTTCTAAGACAATTTCCCTAAACTTACATTACCAATCAATATAATAATATATTAAAACATTCAGCATTCTTTGAATCACACAAACAAATAATCACACTCTTAATTATTCCTTATTTTTGCAGTGTCTGTTCTTTACTCTAAGCCACATGCCTGGCAATCTCTGATGTACTCTCTACATTTTTATTGTCTAGGTACTTTCCAAACCCAACATTCTTTTAGGTAATTCTCAACCCATGAGTGTTAGTCTACATAAAAAGATGTTATTGCTTTCACATGCTTTCTAGCAAGACGGACCCTATCGTTGCATTGGAAGTCTGTTAAATATCCGTCGCTTAGTGGCTCAAAGACATCATGTTATTTTAAAAACATACAGAAAAAATAAATATACCTTTAGAGGAGGCGAGCCTCCTTTTGTATTTCACTAATTTAGCAGTACTACCTAATTGAATGTGTGCCTGTTATTGTATATTTTGTATTGCGTAATTAACAAGAAATATTGGTGTTGACAATGATGAGCTGAAGGGTGTGTGGTGTTGCATAGAAAATTGTTCATCGCTTAATGTTTGAAAAAAAATCCTAATTATATTCCTGTAGTTGTAATCATTGTGCTTGAATAAAACATATCTGGAAAAAAAAAAAGAAAGAACATAAAATACGTTAAATGGGAACCATACAGGAATGTATGCTATATTCACAAACTTCAGGACTAACGTAACCCGATGCAAATAAAAAAGACTGCACAATACTGCTTTGTTGTGTTTACCTGCATAACATGACAACGATGTGCAAATATTTGTGTCAGATGACTGAGACAGCAAACTGAGGACAACAAATGAAATAAATTTAGCTACACACTTAGAGCTACAAGCCAAATTAAGGAATTTGCAGACATGGTGTTGTGTACGCTCATGTAATACAATAGAAATGGCTTATTTTCTATATATATGCGCTATGCTTAGAATAATTTACATACTTTGCAGCTTACTGTTTACATGATCAGGTCTTAACATTTTTGCGATAACAAGAGTAATAGTGAAAAAAATTCTAAAATTACATAAATGTTTCATTTCTGATTTCACAAACAAGTAATGACACTGTTGTCCGTATTTTGCCCACATGGTTCAACAATGACAGCTGAGACAGAACTAGAGGCTTTGCCAACCCGCTGGCTTATCCCCTAGGATGACTTGTTTCTTTTTTGGCAACCCACAGCGAGTGTAGGCACATGTTCAAAACCATGCATAACACACATACACATACACATCACACATTTCTAGTAATACATCACACAAAAGCAACAGTGTTGAGTACTTTGCTTTGTTGATGATCAAAAATGATCAAGATTATGTGACGGTGTGTGAAGAAATGAGTGCTTGATCATATACTGAAATTATTTGCATATTCATCAGATCTTACGTTCATATAAAATCTATCTAAATTTTGCCCATGGAAGCCAACTGACTTGAACTTTATTAGAGGTTAATTGTGTCTTCTATGAAAAAAAAAAAAAAAAAACATCAGACGGTGTAAGATGTAAGTCATGTAGTTTTTGCTAATTTTGGTACATGTCTACTAAATGAAACAGTATATGGTTAACAATTGATTTAATTTACATTTTAGAGGTCTATACGCTTCCCTTAGTTGCCTTTGACCAATCACCACTGCTGCTAAGTAGTAAAAGACAGGAATTCATGCGTTGAGGCATAATTTAGGTTTATTTCTTTGCTTGCAATTTTTAATCAAATATTAGAAAAGAGACCTGAATTGTTCTTATCAACAGCTTGCATTTTGCAACAACAACAAAAAGCCCAAACCAGACAAAGAAAAGGCAAACCACCCAAATAAAAAAAATATACATTTCATAGTAATTTTTTAATAAATACAAGCCAGTACCTCCTTCTGGCCAATGGGTTCTGCAGTAATTCCACACTTTCCTTATATACATTTAAGCTTAGACATAACTTTTTCTTGGTCACTACTACAGATTATAGAATCATATTTACATTTTATTTACTTTCATTGCTCATGGTCTTTGAACAAATTCACTCCTCTGCTTCTGGCCCTTTGTGAAATCCACACTTCTTCATCCACACTGCCTCAAGTCTCTTTCTCCTGGTTTTGCATCCAGTAGGTCACTTGGCACCTGTTGCAAAAGGAAACCAGAGGTGAGGCTTCCGCTAAGACACAGAATGCTCAGGTTTCATGTCTTACTCCCTTTGCTCCCAATGGGTGTCAGTTGTAAGGAGTGAGCGGGCTCTGTGCCATGTTGCCACTACACAAAGCTTGACACTGTTCATAAATAATTTCACAGGGATAGATAGATAGATAGATTATTATTATTTATAGATAGATAGATAGATAGATAGATAGATAGATAGATAGATAGATAGATAGATAGATAGATAGATAGATAGATAGATAGATAGATAGATAGATAGGAACACGCTTTCTTTCTCTGGGAGTGTTTGTGCATGTACATCTAAATGGCTATGAGGCCTAATTTCCTACAAGACCACAGATAGATTGGTTGTTATACACTTAAGAAATGCCCTTCAACGGCATTGGTAAATAGAACATCTATGAAACATACATTTTACAACAAACACATACATACACATCTGCGTGAGTGTGCCCTAAAACAGACCAGTATTCCAGTCTTTTGTTTTTCCAGCGTATGAGAGAACCAAATTCTTTCTCCCTTTTCGCCTACCTCTCTCCTTCAAGGATGATTTCTCCCTCCTTCCCTCCCTCCGCTCCCCTCCCCTCCTGCGCTGCTGCATTTTCCCCAGTTGTTTAGCGGCGTGATACGGAGCCCTGCAAAGCTGACGGAAACGACTTCTTTTAAGGATTGAATTCAGACTTTAGAGGACACGGAACTGCGTCAAAAACCCTTCAATTACCTGAACAGGGTAATATGTGTATATATAAATGCAGGTTTCATGTTGGATACGGTCGTCTTGAAATGTTTTCTCGTTGCGCATAAGTTTCCGTTCAGAATTTATCACGCGAGCGCGGGGTCGTTAGTAAATTCACCTGCTCGTATGCAGCGCAGCGGACTAAAGGCTATATTATTTGTTTTACGCACAGGTTACTTGTGGCCTTTCTCGTTTCTCTGGTCTGTTTTGATGAATTCTGCTTTTGCCCTGGATACACAAAATTTGAACCTCCTCCCTCTTATTTCAACGTCTGAATTGGACGTACACGGTTATAAAGCTACTTAAAATCTTGACATGAATGTATACCCTAACGACGGGAAAAAAACTGGAGTGTTTCAGTTTTCTTTAATGAAGGACATAGAATTAAATAATTTCGGGTTGGAAAACGGAAAGCTTATTCATACAACCTGATGGATGGGGGGCTCTGCAGCTGCTTTCTTCTGAAGCACAGCTCCAGCGTGCGGTGAACAAACCAGTATTTTTCTTTCTTTGGAGGGTGGAGGCGAGGAAAAATCGAGAAGCACATGTGTTGATCAGCAACACTGTCCAGTCTTTACATTTCTGTGCCATTTGGCTGCCCGTTATTTAACAAGAAACCCGAATAGAAATCCCTCCGTTCGCCGCACCACCACCACCACCACCACCTGCATTATGCTTTATTTTTCGCGCATTTGAATTACCACACGAGTAGTGAAGATCTCTCTCTCTCCCCCTCTCTCTGTCGCTCTCTTGTTCCTCTTTCCTTCCCTCACGTCCCTCTCTTTACCTTTTCTCTATCTGTACCATTCCTTCTCCCCCTCTTTCCTTTCCCTTCCTTCTCCAACCAAGTGAAAGCTCTCCCATGGAGGTAATTAATCCACCTTGGGGACAGAACGACCAAAGGGGTGATTTTTCTAAGCAAGAGGAACCTGTCAGCAAGAGACGCATTGGGTGAAATCGGACCCCCCCCCCCCCCCCTTTCGTCGCC